ATTAATGCATAGTTATATTTATAAATTGTAATCGTTATCATTATTATTGTAAAGTGCGGCTACGACGTAATCCGTCCATTTTCTTCTGACCACTGTTTTCGCTAGTATACACCATATATATTAACATACCCAGGCCGTTTTTCATTTGGATGAAGGGAAGGGCTTCAAATTTGTCATTATTTCGAGTAATTTTCGAGCCGCCATTAATTGGAACTGATCTGACCATAATCCTTTGCAATCGAAGTTCGAAGCGGAAGTGATGTCACTGACTTAACCCACGAACGAGGCTACACTCACATGGCTTATAAAATGTATACAAACATAGCGACATTCCTACAACAACGTAGATTTTTAGATATAAAAACCTGTGATTCATTATGTCTACCAATAGCTGTGTTGTACAGGTCTAAAGCAACGTCTCCGCGCGCGTTAGTAATTTCTATTCATAAATCCCTAATCAATGAAAAATACGGCGGCAATGGGTCGGGTTTTTAGGACCATTGCGCAAGCTTTCGTTGTTCGATGCACTTTGAACAAGAGTGCTTCTACAGATTCTTCGTTAATTGAAGCTTTAAAAGAATCCTTATATGCTGTTTCGACAATTTGGAAGATTGAACAAGAATCCAAAATTTGCTGCGTGCGAGAAAGACGAAAGGTGAGGGACAAAATAAATTAAAATTCCTCGCCAAAAAATCGCATTCCAAAATGTGAGTTATTTTTTTGCTTTTCTTACACTCACCAAGTAATTTTTTTTTAATTCTAAAATTAAAAATTTCTTTGAACCTGAAAACAAGAAAAGGTGTAGACTATCAAGTTGTACAATAATAGTAATGGTTAGAAATTCCTGCAAATGTCTTATCTCAGTCAGCAACATATTTTTACTCTAATCTTTTATAGAGGTTCCCAATTGACCTCTGTGCACTACAATGGAACAGAGATCTCTTTTTTGTAAGATTATAATCAATGTATCAAATACTATCAAGTCCATTTTTACTTTACATCCTCTTGAAAGGTAACTGTGCCTTTGCAACAAACTGAGATGACTGCTGAGCTTGCAACATTGATAGAAGCCACCGAATAATTGTACAACAGTATTTATCACATTGCACTCTCTTACTTTAAAAAAAGTAGAATTGTATGATACCCTCTATCAATATATATCTTTTGATTTGTTATTTTTCTCCATTTTGATAATTTATTCTACAAAATGCCTTAGGATTAGTGAAGATCTACTGTCAGACAATAAAATTGAGTTTAACACAGATATCTCCAGTATCAAAATGTGCACATGTCAGAGTCATGAAAAGGAAAAAAAACTTGTAAAACTGCTGGAAACAACAATGGCTAGAAACATTTTTATGCATATAAACAAAAATGCTGAAATGGTTGTTATGGTAGGCGAATGTACATTTAATTAGAGCTCTGATTTAATTGAATGTACATGTAATTATATTTCTAATGTTCTTTTAATTATGTATTAATCAATTATCAAGAAAATAGTACAGTAACAATCTGATAGTCTAATAAAAAATCTCTGTATGAGGTGAATTTGTACCATTCTATAGCAATGGGGATCATTTATTTTATCACTATGATTTCAAAGACAACCAATATCACACTAACATGAAAAATGGAAATAAACATACTACATGGAGACCATGATGTTGAAAGAAATGACAATAATGACGACAAGGAATGCACAAAAACTAGGTACAAACTTGATATTTCAACACAAATGTAGCAATTTTCACTTTAAGGTCTTTTAATTAAATTCATCCAACATTTTTTACATAGTAATACCAACAAGAAAGAGAAGAGCCAAAATAGTCTTCCTGTCTA